AAGGGTTGGCCCGGCACGCCCGCTGCACACGGTGATAGGCTCCTCTGGGGGAGATTATGTGATGGTGATAAGCTATGGGCGGCCAAAGTCTGCGTCTTCTTAAAAACGGACCGTCGTCGACCTGGCTGGCGATCTCGTAGTTAGAACAAAGGTTGCTCTGTTGCTTCGCCGCCAGGGAAGAGGCCATCATCAGAGTTAAAGGGTTTGAGTGTCATATATACTCAACGGCGTAGCTGGCTGCTCTGCCTCAGCAGCTCATCCTCTCACCGATGCTTCTAGATTATGCTCTGTTCTTCAAGAATTTGTTTGTTTGTTCGTTCGTTGTTACCATACATATATATGTGCTGAAAGTCAGCTGTAATTTGGGATTTGGTAGGCTGTGAGAATTGACGTTTAGGTTGGATAAACAGAGGCGAGATCGTTAACCTGTACTTAGGTGTTGGTGTTGGGAGCGATGAGTTCCCACATGGGAGAGTGCTGCTGCTTCGGTTTTTTCCTTCTCGAAGAAAAAAAACATAATGTACTAGTTCCTTTATTTATCCTGAACTAAACTGCCCTAATATCCAGTTGTGACTGGTTCGGATCTTTATATATATACCCGCTACAATTACATTTTCAGTCTTGAAGGTCTGCATCTGCAATCTGATGCTGTAATGAACTTGCACCGTCTCCGGCATGTCCAAATGGTACTTGTAGCATCTTTGTTCAGTCATGCACATGAAAAGTTTTGTGGGGTGTGCTATCCTCTTTCTTTCAAAAGGTGTACTAGCAGATCGTGAGAAGTGATGACCACATTTGCCTTTTCTGACCGTCCGGCCGGCGATGCGCTGCACAGCCTGCAGAATCTGCATGCGCCTCGCCTTCAATTTCAGCACGAACAAAATGCATGAACGCGGCCAGTGAGCCGGAGGGCGTTTCTGTCCAGGTTTTTTTTGGTTGCAACCGTTGACTGGGTGAGCAGTTGGGGAATTGTGCTACCTCACCCAACAAGCAAAGCGTCCCAGCAAATGAACTGAATTTCGAGTGGCTACGTTCAAAATCTATCTCTTTTTTTTTGTTGCTAAATTCAAACTTAAAGGCGTTTCTAACCCTTCGTTGGGAACTAGCGCAAGTTTGCATCGACCTAGGAGGATTTATGTATTCTCATATAAGCACAGGAATACAAAAGATTACATGAGGCCCGGCCAAAAACTAAACAAGCGTGGGATTTTTGTCTGGCTCACGCAAGGCCACTGCACCAGACGTCCTCCGATTCCTATGACTATGGTCAGGATGTTTTGCCTGGCAGGGAGCTGCCAGCCAGGTCGTCATTCAAATACGTAGGGCGTGTTTAGGTTGGCAAGCAATCCTGGCCTTAGGCATCCAAAATCAGACGCCTCCAGCCATGCCTAGGCCAGTAAGTTTTTGGAAGCATCAAACCAAACATGCCCGTAGAGTGTAGAGATGCCAATCAATGACCACCGGTGCAAACTAGGCCAATCAATGACCGTTGATGCAATCTATAATTTTTATGTATTTGGGATCCAAGATCCCTTGTATGCATGGAAGGAGGGAGGGCCAATGAAAAGGAAACAGGAAAATTCTTCTTGCAACACAACATATGAAAGGGAAAATATTATGCTCAAACTACTTTCTCGGTGGAATCGTGAAGACCCCCTAGAAAAACATAGTTAGGAGTTTTCAAAAAATCTAAAACGATGCACATCCATAATGCACCTATAGATATATATTGCCGTCAAATTTGAGATCCAAACTCATTTTATAAAAAAACATTACAAAAATAACAAATTCCAACTGTATATATGCACCAGGAGAGAGCAATAAACTTGCTGAAGTTTATCCTAACGGTCAGGCTAGCGTCTCGACCGTTCGGCCCTAAACCCGCATCCGGACGTAGCTCCTCGCGCCTGCTCCATGCCGCACGCCCCGCCCGCTTGGATTCCACGCTGCTCGAACGACTCGCCCCACCCACGCCGCCCGCCCCCACGCGGGCCCATGCCATTTGAACATCACTAGCATCGAGAGGAGGAGACACCGAGGCGAGGCAACAGAAGGCGAGGAGGAAGATGCAACACCCGATCTACTTTTGAAACATCCAAATAAACACATTTGCAACATACGTTCGAAATAGCTGAAACACTTGCAACATACATCTGAAACACTTATAAAAGCACTTAAAAACGCTTGAAAAAGCCATTGCAAAATATATGCAGCATCCAAATAAAACACATGCAACGTATGTGTGAAACACATGCAACATCTAGATAAACACACTTGAAAACATACGTCTGAAAATTTTCAAAAAATCTAAAACGATGCGCATCCATAATGCACCAATAGATATATATTGCGGCCAATTTGAGATTCAAACTCATTTTATAAAAAATATTACGAAAATAACAAATTTCAGCTACGTATTTGCACTAGGAGACAGAGCAATAAACATGCTGAAGTTTATCCGAAGAATAAGAAAACAAAATTATCTCCGAGCTCCATCCTATTTTCCCCTCCACTCAAAAAAACGACAACACATTATAAGAGAAATTAAACGTCAAAATATATTTTATATGACTCTATTTTTGTCATTGAAATAAAAAAAATCGTACTATATTATGTATTATAAGAGAAATTAAGAGTCAAAATCTATGATTTTTTTCGTAATTAAAATAAGCTTATATTCCGAAACGAAGGTACACGGCAAAGACTAGTGGAGCTAGCTATCAGCGGCACCGTACACGGGCGATTCTAGCCAAGGGCCTCCATTTTTTCAGCCTGTTCGTTTGTTAGTTTCAGTCAGCTTAAATTAGTCAGCTAACAGTGTTTTCCTCTTACAATAAACTAACATCAGCCAGCCCAAACTAATTCAAAAACCAACCAACGAACAGGCCGTTCTATTCGTACATGGTAATGTGCAACTGAAACACAAATGGTATAAATAAATGTGCTAACGGTTTGGTTACTATTTGTGGTTCCAGGAACGAAAAACGAATAGATCCCAACTTGTTTAGTGTTATAGTACAACGAAGCTTTGTTTTGTGTGTTTCTTAAACGGAGTGCTAGCGTCACTTCCGGACGGACACCTGCGTCCAGACGCACACGTCCACGCCTGCACTCAGTTTCCCTCGCGCACGTGCATCCTGCGCCCACCTACGCGGGGCCTGTGCCATCCGACTGCACGTGGAGAGTTCCCGCTTGTGCCCCTCCACTTCTCAAGCACATGCACGCGGCCAGCTGCACCAGGTGACTATAGCGGCCAGCAGGCGCCAGCATCCAGAAGAGGGAGAGGGGGCGACGGATGCCCAGCCGACGCCAGGAAGAGGAGACACCGAGATGAATGTGAGGTAGCAGAAAAACGAAGATAGAGATGCAATACCCGATCTACTTTTAAAACATCTGGATGCAACATTTGCAACATACATACGAAGACAGATAAAACATGCATCTTAAACACTACATGCAACACCAGATGTACTTTTCAAACATCCAAATGAAACACTTACAACATACATATGAAACAGCTGAAACACTCGAAACATGTGTATGAAACACTTAAAAAAACACCCGAAACACACTGTGTGAAAACATATGCAGCATCCAGATAAAACACTTGTAAACATACGTCTGAAAAACGAGATAAAACATTTGAAACATACATTTAAAATATATGTGTATAGCCACTACAACATGTGCAACATTCCGATCTACTTTTACGCAACATCAAGATGAAACACTTGCAACATCCAGATGAAACATCTGAAACATACTCTTGCAATATGGGCTTTGCTTGGACGAATGATGGCACACCGGCGCAGAGGTCGACGGTGGCGCATGAACCTCACTGTGCGGTAGCGGCATAGGCAACTCGCCGTGGGCCCAGCGTCACACGAATCTTGTCCCCCTCGCCTGTTTGCTGGAGCATTCGTCGTGGAGGCTCACCGGCTCGGTGAAGGCAGCCACGACTCGCCAGCTTGGTGGAGGCGGTCGCGGCGAGTGGGCCGGCCGCGGCGAGGAGGCACCGCGGTGGAGGCGGGCGAGGCAGACTAGGCCCGGTTGGGAATGCAGCGTGGAGGAGGCCATAGGGGATGGGCCCGCGACGCAGTTGTGGTGCGGCGCTATAGAGGACCGGTGGCAGCGAGGCGGAGTGGGGTGGGTGAATGGGCACGACGACGCAGGGAGGAGACGGCACAACGAGCATTGGGGTGTGCAGACAGAACGAACGGATAGGGTCGCTAGACGAGCTGCACGCGTGGAAACGAGGCGTCCATCCGTCCGGACGTCATTATCGTTTCTTAATATGACGGGATTGTGTAACCAAAAATGGAAATACAGATAGTGGGCCGCTATGTCCACGCGGACACGCCGGAATCGATCAAACAAGTTAAATACGGCCCAGCCCTCAACATGCAAAGCTCCCAGCTCGGCAAATGAGCTGATGAACTCCGTAAAAAAGACTAACAACCCAGATCGAGCATTGTACCTGCTGCTGTTCTAGAAATTGCTTACGCCGAGTCCTCAACGGCTTGGATTAAAAAAAGAGTCCTTAACGGCTTGCTTAGTTGGATGGATCGACAAGCTTGCAAATGTGAGACCCAACTAATCTCAACGAAATCACGAAAATTAGCATAACCTCCAAGTCCATACACTGCTGAGGAAATGATCTAAGAGTTCAACACAAAAGGAGGAAATAAAACTAGTCTTTGCTGCCACAGCACATTTTGTATTGGCAACTTCACTGAGTTCAGTAGTTAGTATATCAGCCCCATACACCGCTGATGATGAGGAGGATTATCGATGCGTGATGACATGTGAAGGGATCCAGCTGCTCATCAAGGGTTCTCGATCTCCTACACTGCGCAAGGAGATCCTCATGCATGTCCTCTCTGCAGGTTTCAAGAATCAAAATCCACACCACAGAAGCTGTGTATGCATGCAAGAGCACAGCGTAACCACTGAAAGTACGCATCAACGATGGTGCCAATTCCAAATGAGAGTGACGTGCCTTAACGCCTCCTTGATCTCGCCGTCCGCAGCGCCTCCTTGATCTCGTCGTTCGCAGGGTCAAGTTTCAGCGCTTCCTCGAACGCAGCAACTGCTGCTCCATACTTCTGCAAACCGAGATTATCCCCGCCAGATCATTTCATCATTACAAGTGCAGAGATGACCAGATTAGGTTCATTGCAAGGCTAAGTTTGATGCAATGTGAGCTATATGTACAAGCTGAGACCTGCGCCCTCGCGGTACCATGCCTTGGCCCAACGAGGACGCAGCTTTTGGCATTGCTGAGCGGCGAGCACAGCTCGCTCCCCTTCTCTCAGCTTCAGCAAGCATAGGCTCAGATTGGCGAATGAGGTGGCGTCACGCGGGTCAATCACCGTTGCCTGCATGATGAACAAGTGGTGAGAATTTGGTCATCTCATGGTTTGTTTCAGTTACAGTGAATTGAATTCGATTCAGCAGCTGCTTCTGTTCCGTCAAGCACTAGTTTCTCATTGCTCAGCCATCTCATGTTAAGGCAAAATGGAGGACCCATCATTCATGTCTCCTCAGCGTTAGATATTCAGAACTAATAAATAGTTATTGTTGTGCAGCATTTTGTATCCCCCCAACAGGTACACGACATATTTTGGTTCAAGCTAGGATATACCCGCGTATAGCAGTCGACGGCATTACCGTAGTTGCCATTTGCAAATGCTTCCTTTCCTTGTGACTTTGCATTAGCTATTGGTTCTAGCACCGTCTCCTAATACAAACACTGCAGCACATGTTCAGTTCCATGCATGGCACATACTACTACTAATACAGATTCTGATATCAAGGTAAGCGAAACACTGGAGTTTGCAAAATTTTGTACCTATATTTCAAATCATGGAATCATAATCATGCATCTTTCCTCTATTAACTTGGAAAAGTGTGCTAATTAACATACCCGAGGTAGATTCTTCATGGTGTTAATAATCCCATCAACGCTCCAGTCTGGCATGGATGAAATTGGATTTGTTCGAGGGAGTAAAATTTCAACAAGCTTACGGCGCTCATGAGCAGCTGCTAGTATGATTGGGAATTTCCCGTACTGCATTGTATTTGCAAAAACCGAAGTGAATATTTATTTAGTCCAGTATGAAAGCTGAAATGATATCAACAGTATGTTCAAGTTCTTTTTTTTTTTCTCTTAACAACATTTTTTTCGAAAGAAAAGACACTCATGAATCCACACCGATGAAATCCAGAGTCCAATATATTGTTAAATAACTACATAGAGCACAATTTGAAGGAAAACTAGCAAAAGTGCTCCCTCTTAAATACAGTCAGTGATAGTGCCTAATTTTTTACTATTTAGTCTTTTTTCTAAAAAAAATTTATATTTGACTCCCGACAAAAGTAAACTCCTCTTTTAACTCTGGGGTCAACGCCATAACTCATAACGTTAAGGCAACACCTTTCAACGAGGTACCTAACCAGATCTAGGGGCCGTTGACACGATACATGACGCGCGTGGGTGGCAGCACGGCCGGTGGCTTTTATCTCGAGCTGTGCGTGCCTGCCCGGCTGCCGAGGTTATGATGCCTACTAGTAACCTCGAGCTGTGCCTCGCCTGCCTACTACTCGTACTACTCTACTGATAATTAATGCATGTGAGCCATGCTGGTCTGGCTCCGTCGCATGATGGATCTTGCATTGCCGTCGGTGAACAGGCAGCGTACTCCACTACAGTAAGTATAGACGTGCCGGTCACAAACGAAGACGAGTACTCCTAGACGACATACGGCGCCGGCCGGCTGGCGGGCTACATTATGGTCATATATACTGTATGCGTATCCACAATTGTACTACTGGTAAGTCAGCGCGCCGGCTATTTCGGTGGAACGGTCGTACAGCACGGCGCGCGGGCGGTACACGACCACACGTATTTCAGGCCAGTGTGAATAACCGGCATTACTACATGCATGCATGGATGCATGCCGATGCGGTTACTGTTCGTCGATATTGCACCGTACACAGTCCAGTGCACTGCACAGCTCCTGCTGTTACATCTTTCGGTCGAAGAAAGTGAAAAGAATCCAATTACTCGTACACTGCTAGAGTGCGACTGTGCGCCAGCGTGCCACTTGTACGTGGACTGCGCCTGCCGTCTGTGCTGCAGCCTACGGCCTACCGGCACATCAGTGGCCTCGTACAAAAGTTGCACGCCGGGAGGGAGCCCGGCCGGCCGGAGCAGCACACGTGCAGCACCGGCCGTGCTGTCACCCACGCCATTCCACCTCTCACCATGCTCGTCACGTCCCATCGCCCTGATCTCGGTCAGGACCCGGCGTCGAAGATCTGTGACGTCTCTGCGTCCGAGACAAGCCATGAGTTCTAACGTCGACCTAGTGTCAAGTTTACTTCTGTCAGGATCAAATATAATTTTTTTTCGAAAAAATAGCTAAATAGTAAAAAGATGGGGTGATAGTTCTGGAAACTATATATATGCAGAGAGACACAGAGATGTGCCTAGACCAGTGTTTTTAATAAGTAGAATAATTTCAGCAAAATGATCTGGACCTACAGGCACTACTTAAGCTACGACTTGCTAAATATATGTAGGAACAGCATGAATGATTTTTTAAGGGGAGTGAAACTAGCACAGAATCTCAGAGAGCTTCGGGCCTGTTTAGATTCCAAAAAATTTTGTACAGTATCCATCACATTGAATCTTGCGTCATATGTATAAAGTATTAAATGTAGACGAAAAAAAACTAATTGCATAGTTGAGTGAGAAATCACGAGACAAAACTTTTGAACCTAATTAGTCTATAATTAGACACTAATTACTAAATACAAACAAACAGGCTACAGTATCAAAACCAAAAAATTTTAGCATCTAAACGTGGCCTCAGTGCTTGACCCTATTGTACCACCTAGCCGTTGGATATGCAACGCGCGGTGAGAATGTGGACATCAGATTAAAGGGGTGTTTAGTTCTTTAGTCGCTTCTAAAATTTATGTCACATCAAATGTTTAGAGGCTAATAAGTAGCATTAAATATAAATTAATTACAAAACTAATTATATAGATGAAGGCTAATTTCCGAGATGAATTTTTTAAACCTAATTAATCTATCATTAGCACATGTTTACTATAACACCACGTTGTCAAATCATGGACTAATTATGCTTAAAAGATTCGTCTCGTAAATTAGTCGCAAGTTGTGCAATTAGTTTCGTAATTAATCTATATTTAATATTTCATACATGTGTCCAAACATTCGATATGACAGGAATTTTAGAAGGAGGAAAATGAACCAAACAGGCCCTAAACCATAAAGTAAATAAACAGCAGAGACAATGAAAGAGCCATTATGCAAGAAATTATTCCAACTTGTTTCAACTTATTCTCTCTCACATATTACTATTCAATCATCCAAAATCCGCCGTGCTGCAGTGCCCAACTGTACCCTCCGAACGCGCTCAATGGCGGCCGGCTCCAATCTCTAGCAAGAAATTGACAACGACTGCTGAGCCAGCGCCAACTGCAGCTAATAACATATAGTTGGTCCAGGTGAACTATGGAAGTTCCACATCAGCACCAACCTACAGAATTGATAATACAAGTAGCTTTAGCGAACATGTATGGCCTATAAACATCAGCATGCCATGATCAAGAAGTTTAAGTCAATAAGTAACTGGACCTCAAGCAATAGCTTAATGCATTTCAAGGAGGCACCAGCGCATACCATCAGGAGCGAAGTAACACGACGGATAAGTTTATTGGGCTGCAAAGGGACGGAAGTGAATAACAGTTACAAAATGTCCAGATCAATTCTTAATCCAATCTATCATCAAGCCAAACAAATTTTTTAGCTGATATGTCCTTCTAATTGCTTACACCAGCACCATGCTCAAGCAGGATCTTCAGAGCCTGGTCATGGCCGTTTCCTGCAGCCAGGTGCAACGGCGTCCCATGATGGTAGAAAGGATCCACAGGAACACCCTTGGACAGCAGCAGTCTTATAGCATCGCTGTGCCCTGGAGGTACAAAGAGATACACAGAATGTAGAAACTCCAAAAAGAAACACAAGAGCATCTCCAAAGACCTTGTACATACGCCCGCTTAGGGCAATTTCTGTAACGTCCTATTTTTAAAGCAGAAACTTATATTACAAAAGTAATTTCTTCAGTGATATATGAATCTATTACTGTTAGCGTCAACTGCATGCTGCTAATCCATGAAACTTCACATATATCGAAGGTGGTTCAAACTAAAAGAGCTTGGCTGACTGTAAAATTGCATTGAATTGGAGGACTATATATAGAGTATGTTTGTATAGGGGAAAATATATGGTGGAAACCACATCTTCGGTGGATAAACTATGAAACTTGGCATATAGATATGCATCCACGTGTGTACTCACATGTAAATGTTGGGATGCAAACTCAATCTGTTAGGATGAACTACATGCCGGCAATCCATGTAACTGCTGGCTGCTGGGTCAAATTAAAAGTTCAATCTCTACTGACTCTATCAATGAAACAAGTTACCTATGGAATTGGTGGGATTATGCAAGTAATAGTGAATAAGATATGTGAAAAAAAAAACTTTGTATAACTAAATACACCTAGCTAATTAATCCCAAGAAATCGCAGAGATTGAAGGGGCGAGAAATGAACGCACCGTACTGCGCGGCATTGTGCAGGGGCGTGCAACCCTTGGCGTCGGGGGCAGCCGGGTCGCCGCCGCGGCTGAGGAAGTAGGTCAGAAGAGGGACGATGCCGTCCTCGGCCCCGTTCAGTAATCTGGAATCGGTGTCGGTGGCGACGAAGATGGGCGTCTCGCCTGCAGGTGGCCGTGGCCGGAGAGGTAACGTCTCAGCCCGTGGCTCCGACCGGCGGCCGTACGTGCTCGTCCCTGACCGGAAACAAACGAGCAGGGGATTTACCTTCCGTAGAGGCGGAGTTCGCGTCGAAGCCCTTCTCCTCGACCAGGAACCTGCAGACGTCCAGCCGCCCCGTGACGCAAGATCCCTCCACGGCGAGGTGGAGCAGGTTCCGGCCCTTGAAGCCCCTCAAACGACGCAAGTCCACAGTGCTCGCCATTTCTGCCAAAAGCAATGGAGAGGATCAGATAG